GACCCTCTCCCCATCCCATCCCATCCCATCCCACTCCTTTAACGTGAGCGGCAGCCAAGAGGCAAAAATGATAAACGTATGAGTCTAACAGCAGGCCTCTTTTACTTTCATTCTACAAGGAATATTGGACTAAAGTTAGTGCAATTCCTCCTTGTTCCATAATTTGGATTTGTGATACTGTTCATTTTCAGTTTCTTCTTGTTTATCGCTATTTATCATCATTGCCCCATCCAACTTCATTATTAGTCGCATTTTTTATTGCGGTTAATTGACTTTATTGCTCTACAACTGACGAGTACGGTCAGAGAAGTTGAAGAAGCCGAAGAGATAACCTCGCCCGTCTGGGCGTACAATGGGAAAAAGTGGTTATAGGACGCATAAGGTTTAATTCAAAACATTCAAACTCATCTCATCTCCAGTGTTTGCCACGTTTAGGCAAAGATGGTTTCGTGGATTGGCAATAATTGCATGTCAAAAGCGTTTAAGATCGACAAACAAATCAATTAACGCGGTTGAATCTGATTGGCTAGTGGTCGTTCCGTTATGCAGGTTATGTGTTGTAAAAAAACTTCGTCTTTTTATCATTGTTAAAAACGAGAATGTGTACGTTCTTTTTGTATCTGCACCATTTATCACCATTTTGCAGACACAAATTATGGCTGAAGTAAGTTTCTTATCAAAGTCACTGCAACTAGGCCCCGATACTCATCACCAATGTTACGTCACAGCACTCTATGTAGTATAGATTTTGTGTTGTAGTGCTTAGATGTTCAAGCTGGTGATAATGCTTCCACATTTATTTGTGCATGAGCTGCATGCCAATTTTTTAGGCTATTTGGAAATGGGACAGATTTAATGACTTTTCTAATTAACTCAATCAGTGTAACCACAGAGCGCTTTGTTGTAATAGTTAGTGATTTTGCTTCTACTGAGCACGCATACTATAATACACTTGGGCTTTTAGTGTTGGTTAACACCAAAACCTTGACATTGTTCACTTGTACTGTCCAGCGTATTTGTATCCTTAGTTTGCTTTCAGTGTTTGTTTTTAAGTGTTTTGCAAAGTTAGCTTACCTCCACCTCTCTCCTTCCCCACTTCTCCTCTCTCTACCTCTTCTATTTCAGCGTTCGATTAATTTGTTTTTCTTTTCCTCCTCTACCTCTGTCTCTGTCTCTACATAATCCATCAGCTCAAAGTTGTCAACGCCTTTCGCATGGGTCTAGACGCGCGGTACGATAGTGAGCAAAGGAAGAGTCTCACTGCAATCGCTTTTAAGCAGAGGCAGAGCCAATCTACTGACTATGCTGATGCTGATGCCAGCAGTGGTGGTGTGAGATCCTCGGCATACAACCACGAAAGAGGCGAGGATTGCGAGGGAGAGGATGGCCATTCCCGCTCCAGCAGACGAACGGAACAAGCTGTGATGCATTAACTGCATCAAAAATGAGGATTAAAGTGAAACATAACTCTTGGAGGAGGTATAGATTACCATAGACACAATCTCTCACACACTCATACACAACCACATAAGCACCCAATCACTCACACTTACATATCTTGCTTCTCCTCCAGTCGCTCTCACCCTGTAGCAGCTGCCTTAACCTCACCATACTCTACTTGCGAGCAATGATGAAAGCCCAACGAGAGTGTCCTTCACTTCGAAATCTATCTGACGATACGCGTGTATACTCATGACCTCACGCCCACAACTTTCTCACTTCATGCATATTTGTGTTGTCGGATCGACAATAGGTGATCATATTTTAGTTATTAATTTACATTGTTGCGCGTGTCTCCCTTTGTTTACTCATCGCTCCTTTTCTACGAGACGATCACATGCAATTTCTACTTTGTGCGTAGCAGGCCCTTCCTCCCTTTTTCCCCCTTGTCCTCCTTTCCTTCACTATACCTATATCTCTACCCTATATATACGCATATATATAGCAATATGTATATGTATATATATATATATATAAATTTACCTACTTATACGGAGATGATGAAAGTAGCCTTTTTTCTAAACGTGTTGTTCCTCCACCCTTTTGCTTCTTGTCCACCCACTTCCCGATTTACTCGGTTTGAGCGGAACCACGTCCTCTGTACCGATTTTGCTTCGATTTATGCCAAACTTGAATGCGCTACTATTAAAACGATAACAACTACGACTGCAGGACCTTCCCACTCATTATTGCGACCTCTTCCCTAAATTCGATTCCCTTCCGGCTCCTATATCGCGTTTGCTTTATTCCACCTCCTATATCGTTGTTGCCGGGTTCCGGTGCTCCGATGCTATCCTACCACTAAATCTTTTGATTGCCTTATACTGGTTGTCTGTTTCTTCAATTGAACCACACTTATAACACCAGTATGTGATGTAAAACATTCTTTTCAAAAGCGTTCTTCTCACTGGTGGGTTAAATTGACTCATTTGTCAACTTTAATCCTTTCAAAAGAAATCATGGAGCAAGACGTAGATGTGGAAGTCGCTTTCATTACAGTAAGGAAAAACGATGGGAGTAGTGGACGGTGCTTTCTGGGAAAAGTTTGCGCAGAAAGAGGTCTCAGTCCAATTGGCTGAACATGGTATGGGTAAGATGGAAACTCAGTAGAAACGTAGAATGTACGACGAATATGTTAAAAAAACATTTAGGAATCGAGAGGAGGGTAAGGTGCACTCCCTTCGGGGGCGTCCGGTACCCTCTTCCGCATCTCCGCGATTGGATCATATAATGCATTCACTCGGAGAATTCCTTATCAAGAGGAGGTCTCAAAATACTTCTTGCCTGTAAAAACACGATAGGGCGCCTAAAGGTTAATTTTCGGACTTGACTTATAGGATAAAGTGGAGCATATAATATTGACTCCAATATAAGTTGGGGGGAGAGGGAACCTCTTGCATTTAAAAGGCGGTATTACATGCTCGAGAGTGTATGCTGTGTGGGTTATGGTGACAGCAAAAGCAGGAATCTGGCGACATGACGCCAGAATTCTCTCTCAAATGCCGTGATGAGTGTAAAGCTAAACTTCAATGTATCAATCTTTAGTATAATTGAGCAGTAAACTCAGATTCATGAAATAAAACATTCGCTTGAGTGTTGAATTCGTTAACTCTTTAATTGGGATACAGCATCGGCATTCACGGCTATCGTTGTAGCCTCCATACCTTGGTAGGCACACTCATGCCCGTAATTGGGCATATTTGGGAAAATATTTGACCTCATATGCTTAGTCACGCGTTGCAAAAACGTGAGGTCCCTTAGAAATGAATGCCTCTTTTGGATTATAAACTAAGTGAAATGCGTGTGATTTTATTTTGCGGACCTTTGCCTTTGAAACTAGGATCCCACAGTAATCGCTTTAGTCTCGCAAATTCAATTTTTTTTAATGGGCCTTGGCATATATGTTCGCAATTCTTATGCAACGAAAGAACGCAAGTACGACTCTTCATGGTGATTAATAACAATTGCAAAACTTGGTTTGTTTTTGATTGGTTGACTAGAGTCCGCTAGGTTGAAACGCGTTCGGATGTCGCTGGTTTGTCCTTGGACGTTATTTTTTCGCTCTAAATTTTCTTCGATTGGTGCGAATGTGTATTTGTGTCAGTAAGATTCTGTAGTGAAAACAATGTTGCGTTACTGGACTCGACTGCATCCCATTTTTCTTTCATGCTGATTATTTGGATGTATGGTCTGGTATAAGATACTTGTATTTTGTTTATATAGCCAAATAAGAAGTCAAGTTCGTTGAAGCGTGGGTTACTGAAATACTTCACGGCAACGAACGGTATTCTTCCCTCCTACGTTCAGTCTATGGATGTCCACAGGTAAAAGGCTTGCATTTTTCACTCGATATTTTTAGGTTGACTCTCCTCCATTTTAGTGTCAGTGGTTTAGCTGTTTTAAATGAGCCACCTTTGACCGACGCCCAGCATTTCATTAATTTTATTTATGCCCACCAAATACCGTCCTCCAATGGTGGGTCACTTTTCCACTAGCCGCGTATTTTCTTAAAAGTAACCAGTATACTTTTTGTTACAGAATATAATACAGAGAGATGCGGATTCAGAGGCTCAAGCTTTATCGGTGTGGCGCTGAATCTTGACGCGAACGATAATTGGAAGTATTCACCTCTACCATACGATTCTTGCCATGTAACTATGAACTACTCTGCGCTGGTTTCTTTACTAGTTCTCGGTGACGATCTTGAGCGTGTGAACCGACAAGCGCTCATTGATGGAATAAAAGCGCTCCAATCTGTTAATGGGAATTTAGTCAACGGTAGTCTTTTTTGTCCTGAATTCGATGCTCGCTTCATCTTCAGCGCTGTTGCGTCTGCATACATACTTGATATGCTGGATCAGCTAAATTTAGATGCATTCGAACAGTTCCTTGCTGATTCCATTGTACGCTGACACACTTTATCATCAGCCCGTGGATGAAAAACTCGTAGTGTATATCTTCCTGTTAACTTATAGACATACGAGGGAGCTTTCGGTAGTCGTCCAAGACTAGAAGCTCACGCTGGTCTGACGTACTGCTCGTTGGCCAGTCTAAAGTTAATGGGTAGGTTGGACAAAGTTCTGCCTCCTGGATCACCTCAACGTGAGAAGCTCATAAATTGGCTTGTGGAAAGACAAAGTGGTGGCTTCAACGGACGGTGCCAAAAAGAGGCTGACACCTGTTATACCTTCTGGGTGGGTGCTTCATTACGGGTAAGTTCTAGAATTAGTTTCCCATTTTTTGTCACAAACTGACCACATTCTTTTATCTTTTAGCGAATTTTTTTACTTCAGACATAGGCCAATGTCCTTTTGAAACCTTTTAAGTGTCTATAGTGTTCAGACGTCTGCTTGCATAGACTGTCAAACACAATACCCGTCACTGTACTCTTTGATCCTCTCCTATTCCTTGTGAAATTTTACTGCTTTATGTAGTTCGATGATGAGGCTGATTTTGTGCCAAGACTGTTGTGCGGCCTATGAAGAGACCACGGCTCAAGACCGATCGACCTATAATTTGTGGTTCACTTCTCCATCCGAAATGCTTGTCCTTATTCATATCTTTCCATTCCAGATGCTAGGTGCTCATCAGTACGTGAACAAGATCTCACTTCTGAAGTTTATTTGCTCCACTTACGATCCTATTGTTGGAGGTTTCATGAAGGCACCTGATGCAAGCAATGTTGGTAAGCAGCTTCAATGTTTTCTAGACCTTCAATACGAAGAAACAACTATTTCAGTTTACCCCGACTGTAGATCTGCTGCATTCGTATTTGGCTCTCGCCGGTCTCTCCTGCCTCTTTAAAAATCCACCCCCGATGGACTCAACCGACCCTGATTACGTTCAACTCACGGACTCGTTTGACCAACTACACCTGGACGAAACAGATATCAATGATTTAGTGGTACAGCTTGACCGGCTAGTCGCTGACGACCTGCGACCACTTATTCCCGAACTCAACCTCCCTGTCGACTCTTTTCAACGCCTGATGGAAATCCACACCAAGTGGCGCTCCTCAAATTCGACTCCCACTACTTCCAATCATCATCCACCTGCAGCTGAATAAGATACCAGGACGGTCCTGCTCGCTATTGTCTACTTATTTATGTAAAACGGAGCTACATTACCCCCCCTGTCAGCGATTTTTCTCACTCAAGTTGATCCAATTCGATTACGTCGAGAGTCTTTCCTCCTGCCAAAAGAGGACCCCTAGTGTTCACCCAGTCTACGGGGCGTTAGAACAGAAACCAGCCGCAACAAACGCTAGGAGAGTGGCTGTTAGGAGGACTAACCCCTGAGGGGTGAGTACAAGATCAAAGTGGCAGGGATGGAGAAGACGTATTTTGAGATTTGTCTGCCATCCATTATTGACGTAGAAAAGATATAAAGGATTTGAGCCGTTCTTGGCTATTTTTGGACGCAACTGTACAGGAAGGGGAAGAGGGACAGAAAGGGCTAACCTATGCAGTCCCGACATCTAAACCCACTGTTCCGTAGGCATCATGGCGACGTCAAGAACACGCCAAGCCATCCAAGGATTTAATTCTGATTGGTCCCGACAGAGAGCCCATACATGAGTCACTCGCAACACCTTCCCCGGATCACCCTCCTTCACGACGCCTTTGGCGTCACGAATGCATTTAGTCTGCTGCGCCTGGAATGTGATGATGAGCACTGGACCCTGCTCCATCATCTTGCCCATACAAACCTGAAGAATGCAGGAATATGAGGTCAAGTACTATGTGCAAATTTAAACGTCAAGACTAGAAAAGGTCAGCCCTATATTTGTTAGCGGAAAACATGAGCTAAGCAACCACTTTCATACATACATCAATATTATGGACGTCGAGGATACGCGAATCCATATAAAAACCAAGCTCCTGGGTTTGCTTGATTGGGGCCGAGAGTACATTGAAGGACTAGAGGCGAAAATTAATGGTAAACACAACCATGCGTGTGATAAAGGCACTTGTTGGTGTTCTAGTCACTTGTGGTGATAAGGTTAGAACTCACAGCTTCGTAGCACCAGTCCTTGAGAACATCCAAGTGACCATGAACGATGGACTAAAAGCGCGATGGAACATCAAGTATGATGGGTGATAACGAAGATTGATCCTGCTATTGGTGACATTCCAAGGTTGGCAATTAGAAGTGAAGACTTAATCCTTTTCGGTCAATCTCAACTAATAGCTTGCGGCATTAACCCGAAGTTGTCCGTATTTGGAAAGCATTGATTACAAAAGGGGTGTAAAACTCGCCTCCAGAACATTGGGGATGACCTCCATACGACAATATCGAATAAATTTTTCCGTGGTAAAGGTTGGGTCGATTTTGGTGATCTCATCGAGAGCTGTTTGCAGGTCGTTCTCCGAACTCCTGCTGCCTAAAATGATAAGCTGGAAATGTAGGAAGTCATCACATAATTCGCATTTTTGGTACGCATGAGGAAGAATGGTCACAAACCTTCACATGTTTACGTTACTCGTATTATTATTTTCGCAAACTTCTCGAGGAATCGTCTTTTATGTCAGTGACGCAAATAAGTCGGAGGTGAAGCCTCCTATTCCTAGCTACATATCCTTCATATTTCAAGTGCGTTTGTGTAAACGACGGTCGTACGGAAAAAAGAGCTACCCCGAGCTGCGCTGCTATCTTAAAGTATACGACACAGTCTTCCAACAGATGGATTCAGGTAGTGACTGGATATACCTGGATATCTGTTCGTCCAAATGACGAAAGTAGCAGATGAAAGACAACTACCAAAACGAACCACACAAAACGCCGCCCTACTCAAATACCGCCTTCAGGGATCATGAGTTGTCAACTGTGGTTCTCTGTCCGAAATATGCTGTTAGTCGCATAGCAAAGCGGATCACACCTTCACAGGTCCCACAAAATTATTGGTGATAAAAGTGCCCTGGAGGATTTTGTTCATAGATCAAACGGTTTTGAAGTACAGCCTAAAGTGTTCAGCCAGAGTTATATAATGTTAAAGTCCACGACAAGAGACGAAAGGGAGAAATGTTCCAGTAAAATGACAGTATGGCTACTTGATAAAACAAGGAAAAATGGATGTACATAAGCTGCCTCTGCAATCGGGTGGATTGAACGCAGTAGTTTAAGTAAAATCATCTAGAACAAAAAACTACAAAACCTAATTTATGCTAATACCAAGAGAAAATACTTTATTACCTGTCATGAGCTTTAAGTAGCAGGGGTGTTCAAGCGAAACGGTCGATCAACCATCACCAATTTGAAAAGTGACTTACCAA